CAGATGAAGATCTGAGGCTCACAGAGAACAAGGTCAGCTATTTGAGGTAATGAAAGCTGGAGAAGGAGCTGGGGGTGGGAACCCCCAACTAGGTCTGCTTTTTCCAAAGCTGCACTTCCCGCATTCTCGCATTGCCCAGAAAATCAGCAAAGGATGGAGAAAAAAAGAGCTGGCTATAAAATATCAAGGTGTGAGATGGCAGAAGAGGAGCGTTTGAAAATGCCTAGGAGGCTCCTAGATTAGAAAAAAGGGACTTAGGACCAAAGCAGGCCAAAGAGCAGAGGTGGAGGGAGGAGCCAGAGAAACACCAAGGCTTTGCCCAAGACAAAGAGGGACAAGAACAGGACGGAGGTCAGTTTCTGCAGTGTGCAAAACTTCAAAGATGAGCCAGGTGTCCTTGCAAGAATGGGGAACTGAAGGCCAGGCGTGGTGGTGCATGCGAGTAATCCCAGCACTGAGGAGGCTGAGGCATGAGGATCAGAGTGAGTTTGAGGCCAGCCTATATTACACAACAAGACCTTGTCTTCAAAACAAAACAAAACAAAGAAGGGCCATGGATATAGCTCAGTGGCATAAGTGCCTGCCTGGCAAGTGCAAGGTCCTGAGTTCGATTCCTGGTACAAAAAAAAAAAACCACAAACTAAAAAACAAAACAAAAGAATAGGGAAACTGAGGTACAGAGAAGAAGAACAACCAAGCCAAAGTCATGATGTTTTAATAAAGGGCTCATTCTATGGAAGGCAGAGAAAAGAACTGACTTTTTTCCGCTCCTTGTTTGTCAGTCATTGTGCTAAGTACTTTTTGTGCATGATCTGGTGTAATCTTCTTATAGAGTAATTTTTTTGTGTGTGGCACTGTGGCTTGAATCTAGGGCCTTCACACTGGACTATCAGTTCAATGATATTGTATTGTTTTGTATTGTATTGGTTTTTTGGTTTGTTTGTTTTGGTCTTTTTGAGACAGGGTCTTGCTATGCAGTTCAGGCTGGCCTTGAGCTCACTTTGTAGCCCAGGCTGGTCTTGAACTCTCAGCGATCCTCCTGCCTCAGCCTCCCCGAGTGCTGGGATTTCAGGTGTGCACCACCACGCCGGGCAAGATGAAAGGCTGTATTGTATTGCATTGCACTGTATTGAATTATATTTTGCAACAGGGACTCTTGTCAAGTCACTATGCCGCACAAGATGGGCTTGAAATTGAGATCCTCCTGCCCCAGCCTCCCAGAGTGCTGGGATTACAAATATGTGCTGGCACACTTGGCTAGAGGATACCTTTATGCCCATTTTGCAGATGAGGCAACAGAGGCTCAGATAAGTGAAGGTCATGTGCCAAAACACCCACTTGATGAGAAGCAAAGTCCAAGCTAGCCAGGGGCTGGGGATTTAGCTCAGTGGCAAAGCGCCTGGCTGGCAAGCACAAGGCCGTGAGTT